CAAGTATGTATGACTTACATTTATAGATTTACATTTGAAATGTGCATATCAGACTGAAATATTTACTAGGTTAAAATACACATTTGGTACCAGCATGAGTGTGGATTGTTATCTATAAGTCTTTTCAAGTCATTACGATTGTAAAAGATTTTGCTCTTTAATCATTTAAGTCACTGTGTTTTTCCATGACTCTTTAACCTAAAGCTGATGTTATACTTAATTATTTTAAATATTCTTTGGAAAAGTTTGAGAAGTGCTTTTATGCCCACGTACTCATCAGTGATATATTTTTATGTAGCTCTACTATATATACTTAGAATTGTGCTAAGTGATGGAGATTCATGTGTGTATGTGTGTAGACAGTGCTGACCACTGTATACACACATACAAGAATTGAAGAAGTTTTATTAAGAATTGAAGAATATATATATATATATATATATATATATATATATATATATATATATCACTCACATATATATGTATAGTGGTTCAGTCACTAAATCGTGTCTGACACTTGCGACTCTGTGGACTGCAGCCTGCTGGGCTCTTCAGTCCATGGACTTCTCCATGCAGAAATACTGGAGTGGGTTTGCTATTTCCTTCTCCACGGGATCTTCCCGACCCAGGAATCAAACCTGGGTCTCCTGTATTGCAGGCAGATTCTTTACCAACTGAGCTACGAGGGAAGCCCATATATACTCATGGATGGGAACGTATGCTCTTGTAACCATCCATGAGTTTTATTAATAGGTAAAAAGGTAGTTTATCAGCTCTTATTTATAATTGTTTTTTTTTTTTTACTTAAGGTTTTCATTTCCCTTCTTAACTCTTACTAACATTTTAGAATCAAATTCCATATATTAAATCTGTTAAGATAAAATTCACCAGAGTGAATTTTAAAGATCGTATTGGCTTTATTCTTTCTAAGACATTAGACAAAGTCATCGTAAGATTTTTTTATTCACTAACATTCCATAACAGTAGATAACATGAACTTATTTGACTAATAAACCTCAGAAGAATAAAAGTTGTATGTACAAATTATTTTTCATGTTCACAACTGCAGAGACATATCTATTTTAATTAATAAACCTGGGCTTCCCAGGTGGTGCTAGGAGTAAAAAACCCACCTGCCAATGCAACGGACATAAGAGACACAGGTTCATTCCCTGGGTGGGGAAGATCCTGTGGAAAAGGGCATGGCCACCCTCACCAGTATTCTTACCTGGAGAGCCCCATGGAGAGAGGAACCTTGTGGACTACAGTCCATAGTGTCACATAGAGTCGGACACGACTGAAGCCACTTTGCATACACACACAAGCTAGTTTTAATGCTGAGTATTTTCCCAGGCCACATGAACTTGAAGCTTTTGGGTTTCTTTCTAATATATTCCTGAGAATTTTATGACTGCTTGATTTGTATAAGCTCTTACTTTTCTTTGAATTAATTGAACATAGCTCTTTTATAAGTTAATTTGGCAATACCATTAAGAGTCAGAAGAATATTTCACATTACAGCATATATATACAGACACACATGGCCTTCCCCAGTGGTTCATTGGTAAATAATCTGACTGCAATGCAGGAGACATGGGTTCAATACCTGATTCGAGAAGATCCCATGAAGGAAGGCATAGCAACCCACTCCAGTATTCTTGCCTAGAGAATCCCATGGACAGAGGAACCTGGAGGGCTATAGTCCATAGGGTCACAAAGAGTCAGACACGACTGAAGCAACTTGAGCCTACATGCAAACAGACACACATAAATAAGCAGGCACAAGCTGAGATCTTATAGCTTTTATTTTAATGTTTTCCACCATTATGTTGGTACCTGCTCAAGTGGCTAAAGCTTTTTAAAAGCTCTTATTTTAGAGACACACTTAAGATTTGTATGTATCTTGTAAAGTAATCTTATGGAATCTGTGTACTAGATTTGGGGCAAGGGAACCTCTGTAGCAGTTTATATATATATACATACATATATATATACACACACACACATACATATACACACACACATACATATATATATACACACACACATATACATATACACACACACACACACATATATCAGTTCAGTCAGTCATGTCTGACTCTTTGTGACCCCATGGACTGCAGCACACCAGGATTCCCTGCCAATCACCAACTCCTGTAGCTTGCTCAAACTCATGTGAATTGAGTTGGTGATGCGATCCAACCGTTTCATCCTCTCTAGTTCCCTTTTCCTCCTGCCTTCAATCTTTCCCAGCATCAAGGTCTTTTCCAGGGAGTTAGTTCTTCAGATCAGGTGGACAAACTATTGGAGTTTCAGCTTCAGCATCAGTCCTTCCAATGAATATTCAGTACTGATTTCTTTTAGGATGGACTGGTTTGATCTCCTTGCAGTCCAAGGGACTCAAGAGTCATCTCCAACACCACAGTTCAAAAGCATCAATTCTGTAGCACTCAGATTTCTTTATAGTCCAACTCTCACATCCATACATGACTATTGGAAAACCATAGCTTTGACTACACAGAACTTTGTTGGCAAAATAATGTCTCTGCTTTTCAGTATGCTATCTAGGTTGATCAAAACTTTTCTTCTAAGAAGCAAGCGTCTTTTAATTTCATGGCTGTAGGCAGCCACCATCTGTAGAGATTTTGGAGCCCAAGAAAATTATCTGTCACCGTTTCCATTGTTACCCCATCTATTTGCCATGAAGTCTTGGGACCAGATGCCATCATCTAAGTTTTCTGATGTTAAGTTTTAAGCCAGCTTTTTCACTCTCCTCTTTCACTTTCATCAAGAGGCTCTTTCATTCCTCTTCACTTTCTGTAGTAAGGGTGGTGTCATCTGGTTATCTGAGGTTATTGTTATTTCTCCTGGCAATTGTGATTCCACCTTGTGCTTCATCCAACCCAGCATTTTGCATGATGTATTCTGCATATAAGTTAAATAAATGGGATGACAGTATACAGCCTTGACCTACTCCTTTCCCAATTTGGATCTAGTCCTTTGTTCCATGTCCAGTTCTGTTGCTTCTTGACCTACATACCAGTTTCTCAGGAAGCAGGTTAGGTGGTCTGGTATTCCCATCTGTTTCAGAATTTTCCAGTTTGTTCTGATCGACACAGTCAAAGGCTTTAGTGTAGTCAGTGAAGCAGAAGTAGATGTTATTCAGAATTCTCTAGCGTTTTGTATGATCCAACGGATATTGGCAATTTGATCTCTGGTTCCTCTGCCTTTTCTAAATCCAGCTTGAATGTCTGGAAATTATTGGTTCATGTACTGTTGAAGCTTAGCTTGGAGAATTTTTAGCATTGAAATGAAAAAAATGAAATGAAGTCACTCAGTCGTGTCTGACTCTTTGCGACCCCATGGACTGTAGCCTACCAGGCTCCTCCGTCCATGGGATTTTCCAGGCAAGAGTACTGAAGTGGGTTGCCATTTCCTTCTCCAGGGGATCTTTCTGACCCAGGGATCGAACTCAGTTCTCCCACATTGTAGGCAGATGTTTTACCGTCTGAGCCACCAGAGAAGTCTTTGCTGGTATGTGAGATAAGTGCAATTGTGCAGCAGTTTGAACATTCTTTGGCCTTGCCTTTCTCTGGGATTGGAATGAAAACTGATCTTTTCCAGCCCTGTGGCCACTGATGAGTTTTCAAAATTTGCTGGCATATTGAGTGTACCACTTTAACAGCATCATCTTTCAAGGGTTTGCAACAGCTCAGCTGGAATTCTATCACATTGACTAGCTTTATTCGTAGCGATGCTTCCTAAGGCCCACTTGACTTCACACTCCCAGATGTCTGATACTATTTGAGTGATCACACCATTGTGGTTATCTGGGTCATTAATTTTTTTTTTTTGTATAGTTCTTTGTATTCTTGCCATGTCTTCTTAATATCTTCTGTTTCTTTAGGTCCATACCATTTCTGTCCTTTATCATGCCCATCTTTGCATGAAATATTCCCTTGGTATCTCTAATTTTCTTGAAACAATCTCTAGCTTTTCCCATTCCATTGTTTTCCTCTATTTCTTTGCACTGATCACTTAGGGAGGATTTCTTGTCTCTTCTTGCTGTTCTTTGGCACTCTGCATTCAAATGGGTATATTTTTCCTTTTCTCCTTTGTCTTTTATTTTTCTTAGCTATCTGTAAGGCTTCCTCAGGCAATCATTTTGCCTTTTTCCATTTCTTTTTCTTCAGGATGATTTTGATCACCACCTGCTGAACAGTGTTATGAACATCCATCCATACTTCTTCAGTCATTCTGCCTATGAGATTTAATCCCTTGAATCTATTTGTCACTTCCACTGTATAATCTTAAGGGATTTGATTAGGTCATACTTGAATGGCCTATAGGTTGTCCCTATGTTCTTCAATTTAAGTCTGAATTTTTGCAATAAGGAGTTCATGATCTGAGCCACAGTCAGCTCCTGGTGTTTTGTGTGTGTGTGCTGACTGTATAGAGCTTCCCCATCTTTAGCTGCAAAGAATATAATAAGTCTGACTTTGGTATTGAACATCTGGTGATGTTCTCCTGGTGTCCCTGTATAGAGTCATCTCTTGCATTGTTGAAAGAGGGGGTTTGCTATTCTGGGTGATAGTTAATTTTTTCTTAGCTTTACTGTCTTTTCCAAAATTTCCATGAATATGTGTACTTTTTCAGGAATAAATTAACCTTTTTAATCTCCTTTTACTTCTCACTCATCTGCACTTTGCCCATACCACAATTGAGAGGACCTAAAAAATTATGTCCAGTTTTATGCTTTGATAATACACAGCTGACTCACTCAATAAACATATAAATATATTTTTCATCTTTTCGTAAGTCATGTTGTATCTCTCTCTGAATACAAATAGGAATATATATGTGTGTGTGTGTGTGTGTGTGTGTGTGTGTGTATGTATTCATTTTAAACCTGAAAACTCTGACAATTACACATTAGAACTGAAATATTGATGCTGATATGATTTTCATACATTTTTTTCTTTTTTCTTCTTTTCTAGTGCAAGGGTGTGGCTAAAATCTATCATTACATAATTTCTCTGCCACCTGACCTTACAGAACTGGAAACACAAATTTCAGAAGTTATTACCCCTGAAGAGAAGCCACGTAATGTGAAAGTGGTAAGCAATTAAAAAAAAAAAAAAGATTTATCATTAATAGAAAGTATTTAGTAAATATTTGTAAATATCAATCAAATTCTCTCTAATTTAACACAGAAGCGGGTGTTAAGGGTTTTTTTTGTTTCTTTTTAATGTCTCTAAATGTATAATTGATACTTGAACAACACTGGAACAGCCCATCATGCAGTCAAAACCGAATACATAATTTTACAGTCTGTTCTCTATATCTGCAGTTTCACATTCATAGATTCAAACAACCGTGGATAGTGTGGTACTGTAGTACTTATATATTGAAAAAAAAAAATTGCACATAGGTGAATCTGTGCAATTCAAACCCATGTTCAAGGGTCAACTGTATACAGTACATAAGATGATGTGATCACGTCTAGCTTTTCAGTATAGTCATATTAATTTTAGGTGACTTCATTATATACCATTGAGTTTATACATCATTATTTATTTAAGCATTCAATTGTCATTGGATTATTTAGAATGCTGACAGTTTCACATGTTAAAAGTAAAACTGATATAATGGTCTTTTAAAGTATAATGTATTTTAACCACTCAAATAATATATTTGAATATATTTATATTATTCTGATAATAATAGCAGAACATACTGTTGTCTTCCCTGATAGCTCAGCTGGTAGAGAATCTGCCTACAATGCAGGAGAACCTGCTTTGATTCTTGGGTCAAGAAGATCCACTGGAGAAGGGATAGACTACCCACTCTAGTATTCTTGGGATTCCCTAGTGGCTCAGACAATAAAGAATCTGCCTGTAATGAGTAGACCTGGGTTGGGAAGATCACCTGCAGAAGGGAATGGCTAAACACTCCACTATTCTTGCCTGGAGAGTCCCCAGGGACAAAGGAGCCTGGCAGGCTACAGTTCATGGGAATGCAAAGAGTCAGACACAGCTGATTGACTTTCAGTTTCACTTTGACAATTGTTTTAGGATTAATTGTATCTTTTTTTCTTTCATTTATTTATATTAGTTGGAGGCTAATTACTTTACAGTATTGTAGTGTTTTTTGCCATACATTGATATGAATCAACCATGGATTTACATGTGTTCCCCATCCTGAATCCCCTTCCCTCCTCTCTCCACATCCCATCCCTCTGGGTCATCCTAGTGCACCAGCCCTAAGCACTTGTCTCATGCATCAAACCTGGACTAGCCATCTGTTTCACAATTGATAATATACGTTTCAAAGCTATTCTCTCCGATCATCCCTTCTCACCTTCTCCCACAGAGTCCAAAAGTCTGTTCTATACATCTGTGTCTCTTTTTCTTTCTTGCATATAGTGTTATCATTACCATCTTTCTAAATTCCATGTATATGAGTTAGTATACTGTATTGGTGTTTACCTTTCTGGCTTACTTCACTCTGTATAATGGACTCCAGTTTCATCCACCTCATTAGAACTGATTCAACTGTATTCTTTTTAATGTCTGAGTAATATTGCATTGTGTATATGCAGCATAGCTGTCTTATCCATTCGTCTGCTGATGGACATCTAGGTTGCTTCCATGTCCTGGCTATTATAAACTGTGCTGTGATGAACATTGTGGTGCACGTGTCTCTTTCAGATCTGGTTTCCTCAGTGTGTATGCCCAGGAGTGGGACTGCTGGGTCATATGGCAGTTCTATTTCCAGTTTGTTTTCCAGTTTTTTAAGGAATCTCCACACTGTTCTCCATAGTGGCTATACTAGTTTGCATTCCCACCAACAGTGTAAGAGGGTTCCCTTTTCTCCACACCCTCTCCAGCATTTATTGCTTGTAGACTTTTGGATAGCAGCCAATCTGACTGGCGTGTAATGATACCTCATTGTGGTTTTGATTTGCATTTCTCTGATAATGAGTGACATTGAGCATCTTTTCATGTGTTAGTTAGCCATCAGTATGTCTTCTTTGAAAAAATGTCTGTTTAGTTCTTTGGCCTACTTTTTGATTGGGTCATTTATTTTTCTGGAATTGAGCTTCAGGATTTGCTAGTATATTTTTGAGATTAACCCTTTGTCCTTTGCTTCATTTGCTATTATTATCTCCCATTCTGAAGGCTGTCTTTTCACTTTACTTATAGTTTCCTTTGTTGTGCAGAAGCTTTTATTTTAATTAGGTCCCATTTGTTTATTCTGCTTTTATCTCCATTACTCTGGGAGATGGGTCATAGAAGGTCCTGCTATAATTTATGCCAGGGAGTGTTTTGCCTGTTTTCCTCTAGGAGTTTTATAGTTTCTGGTCTTATATTTAGATCTTTAATCCATTTTGAATTTATTTTTGTGTATGGTGTTAGAAAGTCTTCTAGTTTCATTCTTTTACAAGTGGCTGACCAGTTTTCCCAGGACCATTTGTTAAAGAGGTGGTCTTTTTTCTATTGTATATCCTTGCCTCTTTGTCGAAGATAAGGTGACCATAGGTTCGTGGATTTATCTCTGGGCTTTCTATTTTGTTCCACTGATCGATATTTCTGTCTTTGTGTCAGTACCATACTGTCTTGATGACTGTGGCTTTGTAGTACAGCCTAAAGTCAGGCAGGTTGATTCCTCCAGTTCCACTCTTCTTTCTCAAATTGCTTTGGCTATTAGAGCTTTTTTGTATTTCCATACAAATTGTGAAATTATTTGTTCTAGATCTGTGAAAAATACCATTGGTAACTTGATAGGGATTGCATTGAATCTATAGATTGCTTTGGGTAGTATAGCCATTTTGACAATATTTATTCTTCCAATCCATGAACACGGTATATCTCTCCATCTGTTTGTGACCTCTTTGATTTCTTTCATACTGTTTTATAGTTTTCTATATATACGTCTTTTGTTTCTTTAGGTAGATATACTCCTAAGTATTTTATTCTTTTTGTTGCAATGGTGAATGCTATTGTTTTCTTAATTTCTCTTTCTGTTTTCTCATTGTTAGTGTATAGGAATGCAAGGGATTTCTGTGTGTTAATTTTATATCCTGCAAGATTACTGTATTCACTGATTAGCTCTAGTAATTTTCTGGTAGAGTCTTTAGGGTTTTCTATGTAAAGGATCATGTCATCTGCAAACAGTGAGAGTTTCACTTCTTCTTTTCCTATCTGGATTCCTTTTATTTCTTTTTCTTCTCTGATTGCTGTGGATAAAACTTCCAAAACTATGTTGAATAGTAGTGGTGAGAGTGGGCACCCTTGTCTTGTTCCTGATTTTAGGGGAAATGCTTTCAATTCTTCACCATTGAGGATAATGTTTGCTGTGAGTTTGTCATATATAGCTTTTATTATGTTGAGGTGTGTTCCTTTTATGCCTGCTTTCTGGAGAGTTTTTATCATAAATGGATGTTGAATTTTATCAAAGGCTTTCTCTGCATCTATTGAGATAATCATATGGTTTTTATCTTTTAATTTGTTCATGTGGTGTATTAATTGATTGATTTGTGGATATTAAAGAATCCTTGCATTCCTACGATAAAGCCCACTTGGTAATGATGTTTGATCTTTTTAATATGTTGTTGGATTCTGTTTGCTAGAATTTTATTAAAGATTTTTGCATCGATGTTCATCAGTGATATTGGCCTGTAGTTTTCTTTTTTTGTGGCATCTTCGTCTGGTTTTGGAATTAGGGTGATGGTGGCCTCATAGAATGAGTTTGGAAGTTTGCCTTATTCTGCAATTTTCTGGAAGAGTTTGAGTAAGATAGGTGTTAGCTCTTCTCTAAATTTTTGGTAGAATTCAGCTGTGAAGCCATCTGGTCCTGGGCTTTTGTTTGCTGGAAAAATTCTGATTACAGTTTCGATTTCCTTGCTTGTGATGGGTTTGTTAAGATCATCTATTTCTTCCTGGTTCAGTTTTGGAAAGCTGTACCTTTCTAAGAATTTGTCCATTGCTACCAAATTGTCCATTTTATTGGCATATAGCTGCTGGTAGTAGTCTTTTATAATCCTTTGTATTTCAGTGTTGTCTGTTGTGATCTCTCCATTTTATTTCTAATTTTGTTGATTTGATTCTTCTCCCTTTGTTTCTTGTTGAGTCTGGCTAACGGTTTGTTAATTTTATTTATCTTATCAAAGAACCAGCTTTTAGCTTTGTTGATTTTTGCTATGGTCTCTTTTGTTTCTTTTGCATTTTTTTCTGTCCTAATTTTTAAGATTTCTTTCCTTCTACTAACCCTGGGGTTCTTCGTTTCTTCCTTCTCTAGTTGCTTTAGGTGTAGAGTTAGGTTATTTATTTGACTTTTTTTTCATTTATTTTTATTAGTTGGAAGCTAATTACTTTACATTATTGTAGTGGTTTTTGTCATACATTGACACGAATCAGCCATGGATTTACATGTATTTCCCATCCCGATCCCCCCTCCCACCTCCCTCTCCACCCGATTCCTCTGGGTCTTCGCAGTGCACCAGGCCCGAGCACTTGTCTCATGCATCCAGCCTGGGCTGGTGATCTGTTTCACCCTAGATAATATACATGTTTCAATGCTGTTCTCTCTAAACATCCCACCCTCGCCTTCTCCCACAGAGTCCAAAATTCTGTTCTGTACATCTGTGTCTCTTTTTCTCTTTTGCATATAGGGTGAACTTTCCTCTTAACACTTCTTTTACAGTGTCCCACAGGTTTTTGGTTGTTGTGTTTTCATTTTCATTCATTTCTATATATATTTTGATTTATTTATTTCTTCTATGATTTGTTGGTTATTCAGAAATGTGTTATTTAGCCTCCCTGTGTTGGAATTTTTAATAGTTTTTTTCCCTATAATTGAGATCTAATCTTACTGCATTGTGGTCAGAAAATATGACTGGGATGATTTCAATTTGTTTGAATTTACCAAGGCTAGATTTATGACCCAGGATATGATCTATTCTGGAGAAGGTTCCATGTGCACTTGAGAAAAAGGTGAAATTGATTGTTTTGGGGTGAAATGTCCTATAGATATCAATTAGGTCTAGCTGGTCCATTGTGACCTTTAAGTTTGTGTTTCCTTGTTAATTTTCAGTTTAGTTGATCTATCCATAGGT